TAAGAACTTTTAGGAGAAGTTGTGTGAAGAAAAGTTGTAGATTTCATGGAGATATACAACTTCCATGTTGGAAGTTTCTCTTGAATCATCTTGCATCATGGTGAAAATTTGGCCTAAAGTTATGAAAAAAAACATGAATTTTCAACACTTAGAAAAATTTCTAAGTTTAGAAATTTTGACTTTTCAAAATGAAATCTTGACTTTTTTATTTCTTGTTGAGTAAGTTTCATATTTTGACATGTTTTGATGAATTATGATCTTTGGCACTTGAATTTGACCAAAAAGTCAAAGTTTGACTTTTCAGTATATAATTGACTTTTGATCAGTTGACTGCAAAATTCATCTGTCAATCCAATGGACTTGTAATGTTTTGAATCATGTCATTAGGTCAAAATGTGCATTTGGACTCTTGAAATCATGCCTTAAACCAATTGATCATTTGCTAGGTCAAAAAATCATAAATTGCCCTTTCCCAGTCAAAACCCTAATTTTGACCATTTTGCCCTTTTGAAGATTTGATCAAATTTCTTGAGGAATTATGGTCCAAACTTGATCAAATGATACATATGAGTCTAAAATGTTGATGTGGATAAAAAATTATGATGTTTGACTATAAATTGGCTGTGGTTGAATTTTTCCTCAATACAGTTGATTTTTAAGTCAACTATTTAATTGACTGATCAAAAGTGTGATCCAAGGCTTGAAAATTGACATGAGTGATATTGGGGGTCCATAATGGTCCATGAAAGTAATATGAAGCATTGATAGTCCAAAAATCCTTGTGCAAACTTAAACCCTAATTTAGGTCATCAGTGCATAAGGAGGTGTCTTGAGCTGATCAAACCCTAGTGCAGTCTTGAGCCTAAGGAGATCTTATGAGAAAATTCTTGATAAGTGAGAGGGAAAATTTTGGGGTACAACACCAAGAAACCCTTCTTTGTAGACTAAAACTATTTTCGAACAAGTCCTTGTCTTTTACCCTTTGGTCGACTAAACCAATTTTATCCTCCTGACATATCCTTTTATTTCTTCCTAGTCGACATAGTTCAATTTCGACAGTTTCAGTGTTGTAGCGGTAAAATCAATGAAGTCGCCACTGATATTTATTTATCCCATAAAATGGAAAGGAAAATCACGGAAGAAAAACCTGAAGGGGAAATCAAGATCTTGCGACCGAGAGATTGGGTAAGGGAGTCAATTATGCATGGGGAAGGTATTAGCACCCCACACGTCCATAGTATTCTACGGGATCCACTCTCGTTATTCTAATCAAAGGGTGTGTTCAATCTAATGCTTAAGAGTTATAAAATAAGAGGGAATGCGTGCAAAGAAAACACGTGGAAAATAAGGGAATATTTACAAATTTTCGCTTGGCTGAGCCTCATGACCAGATGCCCACGTATCCCTTTTAAGGAATCAGAGCGCCGTAGTTCGGCTCGCATATTTTATTTGTTTGTATTTTTTAATGAACAATATTAAACTCACCTTTTATCGCAACTCGACCTTTGGAAACTTATGCGTCAACACATAAGTGACTTAACATGTCCTTTTGGAAAGAATTTTGAAAGAAAACCCAAGGGCAAGAGAGTTTGTGTTGGTTGGTGTTTTTGCTGCAGATAACGGCTAGTTAATCTCAAGAGAGAGATATTAGACATTTCTATACTTATTCATGAAGTAATTTTTTGAGACTTGAACCACACCAAGGCTTAGAGCAGAGGAACAATAAGATCGAGAAGAAACTCGCTTATCATTCCCCATACTCAACAAAGGTATTACTCTCATCAGTATATTTGCAAGAAAAAGAATTTTTTGTTTTAATGCAAATGCAAAAGGGGAAATAAAAAGTCTAAAGGGAGACTAACCTAAATCTAACCTAATGTTATCATACAACTAGTGTTCCTATCTAAGTTAGCATGCCAAAGAAAGTCTAACAAAACTATCTTATGGGGAACATACAATGAGAGCGAAGTCGTGATCTCAATTTCTAAATCGAGTAACTCATCAATCAACAAGAAATAAAGGAAAGCGATAAAATCCTATAGGGAGCATGCACTGAGAGAGAAGTCGTGATCTCAATTTATAAATTGAGTGACTCATCGATCAACAAAAAAGGAAACAAACACAAGTATAACACATATAATAAATGTAGTGTGGAATGCCTGCTATAGGTCTTTAAACAGTGACTTCGAGCGCACGCTCTTTATTTCCTACTTATCATGATATCTAGAAATCGATAAATGTGGAAATGTAAATTGGGAGTAGTATAACACCAAACGAACAATAATGTCCGCAAAAAACGCAACCAAAGCAAAGAAACCTGGAATACTTCGTGTAAGCTGGCATCAACAAACAAACAGTCAATGATCGAATATTTGGAATATGTGTCAAAGCTTCATCGATGTGAAAATAAATCATAATTGGAATCCAAACACATCTGCATATCCCAAGATAAACTTGTATAAAACTCAAACCTCGACAAGCACAAGTGAAATCACCAAATCTTAGCAACAAAAATGGTTATTAAACGTAAATAATAGTAGAAAATTCTAACAAAATCCAAAGAAAAAAATTTATATTGTATTCTATTATTTTTTGTTGTCCTTTATTATAGAAAAAATTCTAACAAGGATATCAAAGAATTAATTCCTAAATCATAAAAAAAATAAACTAACAAATTTTTATTTGATTACTAACTCTTTATTTCTAATGTCATTGTAAGAATTAAAAAAATAAGAAAATTATATAATAAAAACAACTAGATAAACTCTAAACAGGAGGTGTTGAATTGCAAACAGGGAGTACGTGGTGCAGAAACTGGCCCAAGGTCCGGTCAGCAATGTCCAATAAGCATTTTTTTTGTTCCAATCTCTTCAGGCTTCACAAAAATGCATCTAATGGGCTTAGGAGAGTGGTGATCCGATCTAGAATCAATTTAATAAGCTTCTTCCAATTTCTACTCATCCTTTTTTAGCATGCCATTATTTAATCCATAATTTTCAGCATTATTATGAATTAACACTCAGCATAATCTTTATTTAATTATCAACAATGAAAAAATAAATTGAAACAAATCTCAAATTAACAAACAAAACAAACGGCAGCGTATTAACAAAAAAATAGGGCTAAGCAGAGTGGCAATCTAGCTCTTGAGAACAAACGCTCTTCTCCTTCGTCCCTTGTGATTTTCGGCAACGTCGCCACAACCATCGCCACCACCAAACCTTCTCAAATCAAGAATCTCCATATACTAATCCTAACTCAAGATACATCATGACCTCGCATCGATCATCAACTTCCTCAGATTTCTTCTCAACCTCTTAGATCTAAATCACACACAAAAACCCTAACAAAACTGAATTGAAATTAAATGGAGATAATATGTGCATTCACACCAGAACCATGGGGGAAATGATTGTGGTAGTAAGAATAACATCATAGTATGAAGATTTGGTGGAAATAGTGAAGAAAGCCAGAAGTAAGCTTACTGACTGGGATGTAGTTTTCCCTAGTAATTGTTGAATACTAGCTCGTGTGAAGGTAATAACAAAGAGAGACCCAGAGAGCACTACGATAATCCAGGTATTGCTTCTTCTAATTCTCGATCTCTTCGAACGCAAATCTTCCTTCTTCTTCTACTTTTGTATTTTGGTGCACGTAAGCTTCTCAAACCATTGTTGTCGTTGTTGTTGTGTTTGCAGAATGGATATCATTGAAATCGTGATGACTTGCTTGAAGATTACCGATTGAAGTGTTGAGATATCATCCAAGGAGGTTGCAGGTCGAAGAAAGAATGAGAAGAGTGAAGGTTGAAGATGAAGATGACTGAAGGTGATTGCTCAATGATGATGATTAAAGATTTGAGGATCCTGAAATGCTTTGATATTGATGCAGAAGCGGAAGGTTGAAGCGTGGAAGAGAGAGTAGGAGGAATTTTCTGTTATGGAGATTTCTTGGTGGTGATGAAGGAGGAAGTAGAGAGAAGATGGTGGTCCAGAAGTGAAAGGGATGAAGATAGTAAACAAGGAAGAAGGAAGATGAGACTGAAGATATTGCTTTTGTGATTTTTTTCTGAGATTTCGCTGTGAACTCTGAAGGAAAAAAACATCCCCCTGAATGGTGAGTTTTTCTGTTTTTATAGATTATGTTGCTGCTGTTAGGAAACAGTTAGAAATCTGGGAAGTTAGATTAGGAAAGTTAGTTAGAGTTTGTTATGAAATCAGTTAGGGGTGTTTTGACTATTAGTCAATTATTTCAATGGTTTGTTAGTTTTGAATAGGGAGAAGTAATTGGTTAGAGATTGGAAAAATTTGTTAGAAAACAGTTAGATGGTTGGAAGTTAGTTATCTCTATTTAGAAAACAGTTAGCACTGTTAGTTGGTTAGTTGAGGGTAGAAGTGAATTTGATTAGAAAGTGTGCAAGTCTGTTGAAGTTGTTAGAACCTTCTGATATATTTTCCTGATATGCTAAGCTGAGAATTAGACTTGAATTTTATTCTATTTTCACGTTTCCTGATTTTTCTGAGTTTCAATCTCTTTTAGTAGTCTTTTTTTTGTTATTGAACTACTGCACACCAAAAAGATGTTATTAAACTGGCCCCATTTTAATTATGAATGGGTTTCCTCCGACTTAACTGTTTGGGAAACTGATGCAGGGACCTATTTTTCGAGGACCGGCTTCAAATTTCCTTCTCTAAACTTGTTTGTTGGATGAACTTCACTTTGGTTATTATTAGCAAGTTAGGATAATGGCTTGAGGCTATTACAAAATAGTCGCCAAAGTCTTTCAGATTTTGTAATCGAATGGTTTTGTGGGTGACAAACAAATACAGTTCGAATGTATGTGTGCTTGGTTCTATAGTGAACCATGTCGACTATAAGAGGTTGAGCTCTTTATATCCTTTCACATTACATAACTATTCTTCAAAATTTTGAACATGGTTTAAGTCCATTTGGCATCTACTTGAAGTGAGTTTATGAATTGAGTCAAAACTTGAATTTATTCATGCATGTTTTGTGTCTGAACTGTGCAGGTTTTGATGCTGATGCAAGTTTGAATCTGGTATGCCACCTATGTAGTGAACAACTTTGTTTGACAAAACAATTGGAACTAAAGATGCAGACAGCTTTTGCAGAAGAAGAAACATAACATCAAAAGCCAAGTGCTTACGGTCATGAGATGAGAGGACAAGGGATTCTTCAATAATAATTTCACAAAAAGACTTGAGATTATTCGCAATTTCCTCATCAGAAGAGCAAGATTTTCTACTCTTTTTATGTTTCTTTAATGAGCTTGAAGCTGGCGCTGCATCTCCCAATTGTGGAACAGTATTGGGTATAAGTATATTTATCAAAACAGGTCGGATACTATGAACACAGGGCTGACAGAAGGTTGCCTCCTTCAAACAATTACTCAGGAAGGATAGGTGATCAGCAGAGAAAAGCTGGCTAGAGCTAAACGGGTTAGGTAGAAGTTTCCCATAAATGGAGTTGTCAGTAGAAACTTTATCTCGAACTTTTAAAGCAAGGAATCGGGCATCAGGATTTCCTACTTCAGCATCAGATTCAAACCGCTTGTTGAGTCCAGGAGATTCATTAATATGATTCGCTAATGCCTCAACAAGCAACTTTTCAACAAAGTATAGAATAATTGAGACAGTCGGCTCTTGCAAGGTTGGTCAAGGGTTTGTGGAAAGTATTGAACTACTTGGACATGGACTGATTTCTTTTTACAAATGGATTAAGGCAAATGGCATAATATTTTACAAATGAATTTTTAGTTTCCTTACTTGTAAACATTCCAATATGAACATTTGTATGGACTTCAAATTGAATGAAATGGATGCTTTAAATGAATAATTGAATTTTTTTTGAAGTTGAATTTGGAATGGAATAATTTTTTAGTTTTGAATTTTCATTCTTGAATCAATTATGTCATATGCCTCAAATTTATCCACATGAGTAAGTTTTGAACTTGAACAATAACGCTTGAACCAGAATTAGCTTGAAACCTTGATTGATGATGAATATTCTTGAAACCTCAAATTTCAGATGAACCAAAGTGGTATACCTTTATAACTTGTGTTCCAAGAAACCAATCATGGATTACTTTTCATTTTTTGTATACTTGACCAACTTTGACCCTTTTGAAAAATTTAGATCATTTGGGGACTTGCAATGAATTCATTTTCACTTGTAATCAATTAAACCACATGACACTTTCCACGTTAAGAAATTGGATGAACACTTTCCAAATCAAGAACTTGCACTAATAGTGAAAGAACTTGAGAACATAAATTCCTTAAAGAGAAACATGACCAAGATAATCTCAATATGAACATTCTATTTCAATGAACCTCAATCTTTAATTAGATCAAAATTCAAGAATCAATCCTACTTGAAAGGTTGTTGAAATCTTAATTCACAGCTTAAACGTCATGAAACATCTCGACTTGATGAAAACCCCAATCATGATTTAACCACTTGACAAGTACCATCACAAAAAAGGAAGTTGTTGATTAAATCCTATAAACTCCTTGAGAAAGAAAGTCGTGTGGGACTAGTAATTAGGAGAAACTTTAAATGACGATGAGCCTGTGATCAGTGCATTTTGATACACATTTTTCCATGATTGTACTTATGCATTTCCATGGTTTTTTTAGCTTATTTTTGTATTTTATAGTGTTTTTCTATTTTAGTTTATTTCTACTCTTATTTGATTTTCGCACTTTATTTTCAGTATTAGTAGTCTGCACAAATAAATTCATAACTTGAGCTACGGAAGTCGGAATGAGGCGTGCTACCAGTCGTTGGAAAGCTAAGAGAAAGAGCTATAATTTTCATTCAGAAGTCGAGAGCTGAATCGAATTGTAGAAGGGCCAAAAAATTTGTTGAAGTTGCAGGATTTTATATTTAAGTTTTGGATCATTTGTTTTGGGCATGGGTTATGTTTTCGACCCAGTTGGGTTATGAACCGAATCCTTGTCTTTGCTATACCTAGCAGCCGCTGTAGTAATTTTAGTTTTGACCTTTGATTATTGAGAAAAATTACTTTTGGCTTTTGTACAAATTTTCATGGAGAACTAATTCATCTTGACAATCTGTTGTATTCAGGTTCTAACACCTTGAGGTTATAATAATTCTAATTCATCTTTTATTTCATTCAATATTAATCTATGTTCTTGTATGATTAATTAAAATTGCATAGAGTATATTGATTTAATTCGATTGATTGTATGATCCTAACCATAGTCACGTCAACGTTTACTTAATTCGTTACCGTGTCTGATTAATTCATATTTGCTTAATTTATGAGGCTTAATTCCGTTTGCTTAATTCGGATAATAGGAACTAACATCACACTATTCTCATTGAGCTTGCCATTGAGTTTGTACTCGAATAGGAATAAATAATTCGCTTAGGGAATTGGAATTACGATAGCCGATGATAGGTAGGAACCGAATCAGCAGATTGACTTTTCAACTTATTTTGATAATCACTTATTTTGTATTATAAATCGATCCTAAAACCAACCCCCATTCGATTTCTATTAGTAATAATAAAATCAAGAATCCTTGTGAGAAAGATATTCGAGTTACAGTTGTCGCTATATTACCGTTTCGCAAAACACTCGTTTTGATCCGCGCGCGACAGCGGATGCAATAGAGAGAATGATGATCCTTGTAGCCTCGAGGAAAAAACCTAGCATGATGAACCTCTTACTGAAGATCTAATACCAAGCTCAAGCATAACATAGGAGAACCTTAATTCTTCGGCTGAACTAAACCTTAGTGCCTTTGTTCCTTAAAGAAACTCTGATGAAGAAAATCTTATATCTCGAGGGACCTTGCTAGCGAAGGCGTTTATAATGCTTGAGATCCAAAACTCTAATCTCATACCAAGAATGATAAGAGCGCCAGTTGAATCAACTTTGGGTAAGATAGCAACCTCAGTCCATAGAGAAAAACACTAATGCCAAAGCCTTTGATCCCGTAACCATGGAATCGATGATATGCATGTATATGATATAATGAGGGATCTTAGGGGAAAAAATTGGGGTATAACAAGTGTGACTCCTTCCAAGTATTAACTCTGACTTAATAAAACCAACTTTTCACACATTGGCTCTTGTTTCCCAAAAAACCCTCATTTTGGAGGATGACTCCTAACTTTTGAGAATATCTTCATTTATCACATGTACTTGAATTCCTTAAGATTTTCCAAGGTAACACCACTATGGACGGTGACGACCTTCCGCACCCTGTAAATGCGGACATAGTTAAAAGATATTACGCATAAACAAAGACCCGCTAGGTCGACTGGCTTAGGCAAAAATTAGGGCATCCTGGCGAACCAAAAGTGTTCGGGTAAAAATTAGGGATATACATAAAAAAATATGTACACCCGGCAAGTCGAAAAACCGAAAAGGCGGTTTTGTACCCCAAAATTTTCCCTCTCACTTATCAAATATTTTCTCACAAAGATCTCTCTTGGTTCAAGACTGCGCTAGGGTTGATCAGTTCAAGACACCTCCTTAAGCACTTATGACCAAAATTAGGGTTTGAGATTGCACAAGGACAATTGAACTTTAAATGATTCATAGAACTTTCATGGATTATTATGGACCCCCAAGATTACTCATGTTAAGTTTCAAGCCTTGGATCACACTTTTGCTCAGTCAATTGAGCAGTTGACCTAAAAATCAGTTGTATTGGGGAAAAAGTCAACTATGGCTAATTTACAGTCAAACTTCATAATTTTTTATCCACATCAACATTATAAACTCATATGTATCATTTGATCAAGTTTGGACCATAGTTCCTCAAGAAATTTGATCAAATCATCAAAAGGGAAAAATGGTCAAAATTAGGGTTTTGAGTGAGAAAGGTCAATTTCTGATTTTTGGCCTAGCAAATGGTCAATTGGTTTGAAGCATGATTTCAAGATTTCAATTGCATCACGTTGACCTAATGACAGGACCTAAAACATTACTCAAGATCAATTTGACTGATAGTGAATTTTCAGTCAACTGATCAAAAAGTCAATTGTACACGGAAAAGTCAAACTTTGACTTTTTGATCAAAGTTCAATGTCAAAGATCACAATTCATTAAAACATGTCAAAATATGAAACTTATTCTTCAAGAAATAAAAAATTAAAGAGGATTCAGAATATGAAACTTCATGTTTTTTATAACTTTGGACCAATTTTTCACCATGATGCAAGAGGATTCAGAAGAAACTTTCAACATGAAAGTTATAGATCTCCATGATATCTACACCATTACTTTACACAACTTCTTCTATAAATGCTTGGATCTCAAGTTATTAATTCCTAAAGTCATGGTCTTGAAATTAGACACTTAATGAAATTTTGCCCTAGTTTTGGTCACGATTTTGACCTAACTTCATGGCACTTTTTCATATAGTTCCAAGTGGAATTTTCAAAAGTGATTCAAAGAGGGGTTGTAGAGAATATTTCAAGATTTCCAAAATGTCCAAGATCTCCTTGATATCATTCTTGAGTAGGGAGAATCGAAGAGATGAAGTTAGGGTTTTCACACTTGAATTACAAGTCATTTTGTGATGAACAAGATTCAAAGTTCAAACCTATGCTGCATAATCTCTATTTTACAGGCCTCAAACATGTTAGGCACTCCATAACTAATTTCTTACACAGTTTTTAGAGGTCTCAATTCAAGCATTCAATGCAAGGCCATGATTTATATCCATTTTGGGAAGAAAATGCATAATTCCATTTTGATAAAGTAGATTTTTGCACAACACTTGTTCTTGAGCCTTGCAATGGTTTTCTTCTGATCATACATGTCCTATAACTCAAGATAAATCGATCTCAACACTTACAATCACTTAGCCCATGTTTGTACTTCCTCTTGGAACCATACTTCCCACTTTTCTTCAAAATCAATTAATATAGCAATCAACCTATATCTTGTACTTCTGACCTTCTCAAGCACAATAACCTTTTGCTTATACATACACAAGTAGTTTGTCACAAAACACTTGCATGCTTGAGCCCTAAAAACACCAAGAACTCAGATTTTCATCTCATACCTCCATTTTTACATAACCTGACCAAAAGTTTGAAACTCATAACTCCCTCGTGCGTTTTCAAGCCTCTTTGTTCCTAAAGCTTCTAAACATCATTTAGAAGTCATCCCTTACCCTGTTACAGTTCAGTAACACCATCTTCCTCCATTTCCAAGTTCAAAAATAGAGCACTGCAAGTGGACTTCTCCAGACCATTTCAGCCATTCTCCAACCAAGCTAATCATTGCATTAACTTCCTGGGACTTCAGTGGAGCTTTTCTGATCATTACAACACCTTGAGGAATGCTTATTTGCAGAACACGATTTCCAATTTTGAGGTAAGTTATCTCAACTTTGAACTCTTCATACAAGCATCATTAATGGTTTATTTATGAATGAAAAATGTAGATATCATTGCTCCAAAGCTAACCATGTCCATAGTTTTCATTTATGTTGCTTGAGCTTAGAGAATTTTAAGATTGATGTTTATAAAATTTTTAGGGTTCAGATTAGGGCCATTAAAATTCATGCTTGTTTTTTATCTATAATTTTATTGCTTTGCATTTCTGAAATCGTGAGGAAATTTGCCACAAGATTCATATTTACATTTTTGCAAATGGATGAGAGATGAACAAGATGCAGGTACTCTGGATAGGCGTGAGGTTGAAGATGAAGTTCAGGCCATGGACTTGATTTCTAATATATATTTATTGTTTTGTTTATATAAACGGGTGTATAGCCACCCCAGTGGTAAAGCGTGTGCCTGTTAACCTTTGGGACCTGGGTTCGAGCCCCAGTGGTACCCTTTTGCTTATTTTCTCACATTTTCTCATTTTTGACACTTGTTTGCAACGCTGCCCCCCCCCCCCCCCCCCCCCCCCCTTATCTTTGGGATTTGTATTTTTGCTACATTCTGACCCTCTACTCACTATTCACACCTGGCTCATTTTATTTATTTTTTCTCATTTTTCATTTATTTGTTTTCTTTAATATTTTTATCTAATATTAAAAAAAAATCAGGAAAAATATTTTAAAAAAAAACAATGGATTTGTATTTTGTAGTTTATTTATTTTTTACAATAAAAAATTATTTTTATTTAATCATACTTTATTTATTTTACTAATTGGTTTGTAAATTTTAATTAAAAAAACTAGGGTTTTAGTTATTTTCTTTTACACAATTAAAATATATTATTTTAAAACAAAAAGACCAAAAATATTTTATAATACTATAAATTATTTTTAAGACAAAAATACCAAAAATATTCTTCTTACAAACTTAATTTCTTTTTTAATCAATTAATATTTAGATTAGGGTTTTATTTAAATTTTTTTCCTAGTAAATTTAGGTTTACTTTTTACTAATTTAATTAATTATTTTTTCTTTTAATTAATTAGGTTAAAACAAAACCCTTTTTCCTAAAAAAAAATCCAAACAAAAGTCCATTTTCTTTCCATTTTATATTCTTGTATATTTGTACATTATTTATCCAAATTAAATATGGTTGTAATAGATAATTATGTTTATTTTCTAGCAATCCCCATTTGTAATTTGTGCACCCCCCCCTCCCACAAGTATTGTAATAGCGTAGTAATTTTAAATTCCGCAATTTATCGCTTTATACAAATGCTAGTAATTAGGGTTTATATGGAAAGACTAAAATCAATCAAGTAGAAAGCCCTAATCAAAGACTAAACAAAGCATGAAAATCAACACACTTGCACACAAGCACCCCTAGGGTAAAATCCACTTGGTTGCCTTACAAAATGGCCATAATATGCATGTGAAGTATCTTAGCAAAAACAAGCAAAATACAAGATCATAGTCCCTCGACGATGCTATCTATGTTGCCTTTTCAAAATGATCTTAGTCATAAAGAAAAATGCTAGGATACCTTGCAACATTGCTAATCATGGTTATACGATGACCCACGCTCGTCCCGCTTATATCCAAAGATAGGGTTACTTACCAAATCAATGGTAAGTTAACAATGTCAAAGGAAAGGGGAAATGAACATGAAAGAATTTTGAGTAGGTAGAATGTTCCTAGTTATATGCTCACTTTCAAAACAAAACATCCTTGCTATTTTCTAAATAAACACCAACACTTTCAAAAAACATCTTTCAAACTTGAAAACATTTGCAAAAGATCAACACTTTGTATACATTCTTACAAACGAGAATCATTACAAAGTTTGCCTAAATGAAGGCCCCTTTTCAAAATACTTTCAAAAATCACACAAAGCATATTTTCAAACATAAGCAAGTGATCTAGCAAGTAACTAAGAGGCCATGGAAAAACCATGGATGAAAAGGGTGCTAATAGCTTCCCTTTTCATAATCTACCCCCCGAACTCAAGAAATAATCTCAAAGGTATTTCCTGTGCTTTTTCACCTTTCCTTTTGGATAAAAGAAAAGTCGGTGGTGACTCTTGCTAACTGCAACATTTGCAATAAAACGCAAAACACCCAAGTCAGTTCTCCCACCGCATCACAGAACTGGCGACTCTGCTAGGGAAAATTCTAAAAGTGGGGTTACCTTAGGGTTAGATCACATTTACTTACTTTCTTTGTTTGACTTGTATGCTTTTTTATTATGGTTCTTTGTTTGAGTTTGAATCCTCTACCCGGATTTGGGATACCTTATAGGTAAGTAGCA